GCTGATCTTGTATTTGTGACTTTTCTTCTTCACTGTCTTTTTCCAGGTTTCTTCTGCCTTCAGTCAGAACAGATGGTCAAGTTCTTGGCCCACGGAAGAGACCCAACCCTTCATCCCTGAGAGATACGTGCCCTGGGAGGTTCTCTCGTATAGAATTGCAGGAGTTTTGCAGTAACTTTGATGACAGGATTTGTAGTAGGAACAGGATCCTTAGGGATAGAGTTGAGCCTATCACTAAGCCTCACTAGCCCTGTGCTATGGTAACAACTTATGTCCCCTTGATAGCCAGAGTTTTTAACCCCAGATAATACCTTGATTTCTTTTTTTCACTTTCTGTTCAGCAGCAGGAAGTATGCAAAATGGTTGAGTGGTAGGTTCAACAGTTCAGTTTAGTGGAAAATTTGTATCCACTTGGTGGAGGCATTCCTCTCTTAGACACTAAAGGCTTTTAGCATTCCTCCCCTCCCTATAGCCATGGGACCAAGAAGCAAATAATCTTTGAGTCAGTCAAAAAGTTATTGTGAGTGGAGCCACTCTCCTACATCTAGCTCGAGCCCCTTGGTTCTTGAACTACGTAGCATCTGACGAAGGAGAAGCAGCACACTGGTTAGAGCGCGACTGCAGCCTGTAGATGGCTCTCTGTCTCACAGAGGGTACCTTGTCTGGCTGGGCCTTCTATAGACCTTGCCACCATTTTAGAAGGTACATGGTAAGGCCAGTGAATCCTGTGGGTATCAGCTCAGCGTCTCACTTCTTTATTGTGAAATGACTTCCATGATCAAAACAATGTTGTGTGCGATACCAAGACTGATTATTAAGTCCACACATGGAGGTTCTGGTGGAGGCATGCAAGGTAAGGAAAGCAAACCTAAATCCAGGGTAAGCAACTCTTCTAGTGAGACAAAATCCTGTCTCCATCATGCGGGACATGATCCTATGCTATCAGGAGTTAGGATAATTGGCTGGTGCCCTCAGGGGTTCAGGGCTGGTTGCTGCTGGGGGCAAACTGGGTGTCAGGGGTGATGCTGGCAGCTTGGCTTTGGTGAGGGGATGTCCTTGTTCTTCACCCCTGTCATCATGGTCCTATGTCCACGAACCCATTGAACAAGTTGGGGGCCCATATTGAGCATTCATATGGCATACCTGCTGTCTCATGATCTAGGATCATTCTGGGGAATCCATCTTTCCCAACCCTCTTTGTCGTGAACTTCTAATCTTTCACTCTGAGCTGCTCAAATCATTAGTCACTGTCTGTGAGCTGGTAGAGATCTTGACCTCAGGACAATGAGATGTACTGCTGACAGTTCTGCCTGCAGATGTAATTAGTTAAGATGGCTTTTGTACTGGAGGAGAGTGAACCCCTAAACCGATATGACTAATATCCTTTAAAAAGGGGGAAATCCGAACACAGAGATATATATACAGGGAAAATGCCATGTGGACATGAAGATGGCCATCTACAAACCAAGGAGAAAGGCCAGGAACAGATCCTCCTTCACAGCCCTCAAAAGGAACCAACACCGACAACACCCTGATTTTGGACTTCTAGCCTCTAGAATTGTGAGACAATGCATTTCTGCCGTTTAAGCTAGTTTGCGATACATCGCCACAGCAAGCCCTAACAGACGAATACACCCTTCACTAGAACTAAGTTCCCTGAGAGCGGCAACCTGGTTTGTCTCGTTCACAGCCATTCCAGAACGCGCCTGTACCATTCGATAGCACCTTGTACCACTATTTAAAAATATGCTTTTATTGATTTCAGAGAGAGGGTGAGAGTTAGAAACATCAGTGATGAGAGAGAATCATTGATTCGCTGCAGCCTGCAAGCCCCCTGCTGGGGATAGAGCCGCCGCAGCCGGGGGCACACCCCCACCGTGACCTCCCTGTTCACGGGTCAGCGCTCAACCACTGAGCACACGGCCAGGCTCGTACCACTATTTAGGTGTTTCGCTAGTGTCTATGAACCCGAAAGCCTTTCAAGGGGAGAAAGTGTTGCTAGTATTCAACCATAACCTGTTGCGTAGATTAAACCATTTCACTCATTTCCAATTTTTTTGCGGTGCACGGATAAGTCATAGCTCTTACTCCCCGGGTTGCATTAATATGCATGACGCGCTTTTAGCTCTCCGGACAAAGAGATCAATACTTCGCAGGTCCCTCGAGTGGGACTCAGAAGACCGCACGAAGCTCCAGCCTTTTACAAGCGCTGGTTCTTGCCCCTTTTGGCATCTTGGTACTTGTAGTTTTGTCCACTATATCTTTCACCGAAAAACCCACGCCGAGACCACAACTCCCATCACCCCACGAGCACTGGGGCCTTCAGTGCGCATCCTCCGGAGAGGGCGCCCCGCCATTGACTCCCTTGCTGGGCGAAGGCCCACCTTCCCAAGCCCAGCCACACCCGTGATTGGTCGGCTGCCCCGCTTCTCATCGGAGGAGGCGACAAGTGAATGAAAGCGGGGGGCGTGTCTGTGTGCGTAGCTTGGTGGCGGTGCTGGTGGAACCCACTGGAAGGTGAGATCCGAGAAGCGGGGTCACGCTGCCGCTTTCATTGGCTTGGGGGCACCCCGAAGGTCGGCCCTGGCCGGGGGTCAGCGGGCAAGGAAGCCCCATTTCGGTCGGCCTCCCTCCGACCGCCCGGCCCTGGCGACTCCGGGGATCCCCGCCGCGCAAACCCTTGCTGGATGACCGACTCCCATCCAGCCTCCCCTTGGTGTGGGGAGGGCGGTCGTGGGGCAGATCCCTCTCCTTCCCTAGCATTGGGCTGTCCCCCGCGTGGTCCACCGGGTGGCGGGGGGGCGGAGGTTCATCCGGATGTTGCGGGGGCGCTAGGCACCGCAGTGCTGGTCACTTTGTCCGCGGAGGCCACGGGAGGGGCCGGGCCTCGGTTCCCCACCCTCCGGGCCGAAGACAGAGTCCATTAACTAGTTCCGGTCGTCTGGCTCTGGACGGGGAGGATCCCCTGGTGCTGTGAACAATGTAGCAGGTGAACCAAAGATTCAGTTGACCCTGAAATTCTTTCTGTGTAAATGGAAACTTCTTCCTTGTCGTCCTCCTCCACTCCCTGCGTCGGGGCAAGGAGTGACTTCCCCGGGCTTCTCATTGTGTGCTGGGGGGTTCGGGGAGTCGGGCTGGCACAGTGGCGAGGACTGTCAGCTCTGGGGGCTAACGGATCTCAGTTCCGATCTGAGCTTTGGGCGTGTTGTCTGTAAATCTGAGCTGAAATTTTCTCTGAAAAAGAGGATGTAACGATGTAGCGACGGCATCGGGTTATCGTGAGGTTAAAATTAATCAGTGTTTGTAAAGTACTTTGTATGGTGCCTCATGAGAAGTAGAGCTCGGAGAAGGCTAACAATTGATGGGCAGGTTATGATTCTCAGGTCAGGGAACCTGGAGGAGTCCTGTCAGAGTCAGTGGCTGGAATTCCAGGCTGCTTTTGGTGCCTGAATGAAGACAGCCCTGTGACCTGGCTGGGTGGGAGCCCCTCAGGGGACTGTGGGAGTTCACTGCAGGCGGTCGTGTTGGCATCTGCCCTCTCCTGAAGGACAAGGCACTAGAAAGTCCTAGATCCATTTTTCTGTTCCTGGCATCCTCCTTGTGTCAGACATTGTTTATAAGTTACTAGCTATGGTGGAAAGGTTGGGAGGGTCCCCGCCCGAGTGTGGATAAATGTACTTCTGAGAGCACCGTGCCCGAAGAGCTTCTTTTCTGGGAGAAGGGGTGGTCCTCAGCACGTCCCAGGGATGCAGAGCACCAACGACAGGTCAGATTAATTTGAACAAAATTTTTCACGTTATATGCCAAATGCAGGAGTGAGGAAAGGTTTGAAGAAAGTATGTGGATGGGCTTTTGCAAAGTCAGGGAGTATTTGCATGAGGCCATAGAATTTAGAGTATTTGTGGAGAGAAAGCCAAAGGAAATGGATTTGGGGTACTATTGCTGAAAAGGAGCATCTTCCGGTGAAAAAATGGAAGTGCCCTGGGAGGAGGCCCTGTAGATAAGACCATTCTACAAGTTCAGAAGTATTGTGCCTACTTAGATATTTATCTTTCTGGGTTGCCAACTACTTACCCCTTTGCTGCTCCTCCTTTTTTTCTTTGTTAAGAAATAAAAACAAAAGTAATACAGGTACATAGTGGAACATACTAACAGTACAGAGGTTGCAAAGGAAAGGTCCCTCCACACATCTCTTAACCATAGTCCCTCTCCTCAAAGGTGTCTGCTGTTAACTCTTGCTTATATAACCTTCCAGAAAAAAATTTATGCGTCTATCAGCAAAACCATATACACAGATGGGATCAGACTGTACGTTTTGCATCTTGTCTTTTTCTCTTTTACTATATCTTAGTGGCCTTTTCCACATAAAAACACACAACTCTAGCTCATTAAAAACATGGTTGCACCATGCTGGGAGGCTTGGTTAGTTGGAGTGTGTTGCGGGTTGATTCTCAGTCAGGGCACGTACATAGGTTGCAGGTTCAATCCCCGGTTGGGGCGTGTGTGGGAGGCAGCAGATCGATGTTTCTCTCATATCTATGTCTCTTTCTCCCTTTCCCTTCTCCTCTCTAAAAAATCAATAAAACATCCTCGGGTGAGGATAAAAAAAAAAAAGATGTGTACATTTTAAGCTGAGATAAATATTGCCACATTCCCTTCTAAAATGGTGTTCAAAATTACATTCCCATTAATAGTGGATATTATCACATTTAAAAATGTAATTTTACCAGTCAGACAGGTTTTCTTTAAATTCTGAGGAAGAATACAGTGTGGGCCCCAACCGGTTTGGCTCAGTGGATAGAGCGTCAGCCTGCGGACTCAAGGGTCCCAGGTTCGATTCTGGTCAAGGGCATGTATCTTGGTTGCGGGCACATTCCCAGTAGGGGGTGTGCAGGAGGCAGCTGATCGATGTTTCTAACTCTCTATCCCTTTCCCTTCCTCTCTGTAAAAAATCAATAAAATATATATTTTTAAAAAGAATACAGTGTGGTATTTAGATGTAGCATTTTCCTATATCTTGTTTTTCCTTTACCATTGTTTAAAATCCTCACCATAAGAAGTGCAATATTAAAACAAAAGCCGTGAGTCTTTTTAGCCCAGTGTGTAAAGACACACTCAGTGGCACAACTGAAAAAAAAAATAAAATAAAATAAAATCCTCACCAGAGGAGGTGATTTTATTGATTTTTCTAGAGAGAGAGGAAGGGAAAACGAGATACACACACACACACACACACACACACACACACACACTGATGTGAGAGAGAAACATTGATTGGTTGCCTTCCGGAGTCACCCCGGCCAGGGATTGAACCTGCAGCCCAGGTATGTGACCGGGAATAGAACCACAACCTTTCGGTGTACCAGACAAGGCTCCAACCAACCAAACCACCCGGCCAGGGCTCCCTTACCATTTTTTTTTTAATATATTTTATTGATTTTCCACAGAGAGGAAGGGAGAGAGATAGAAAGTTAGAAACATCGATGAGAGAGAAACATCGATCAGCTGCCTCCTGCACACCCCCTAATGGGGATGTGCCCGCAATCAAGGTACATGCCCTTGACCGGAATCGAACCTGAGACCCTTGAGTCCCCAGGCCGACGCTCTATCCACTGAGCCAAACTGGTTTTGGCTCCCTTACCATTTTTTAAAAAAATTGATTTGAGAGGAAGGGAGAGGGAGAGAGAGATAGAAACATCAATGATGAGAGAGAGTCATTGATCAGCTGCCTCCTGCATGCCCCTACTGGGGTCTGAGCCTGAAACCCGGGCATGTGCCCTTGACTGGAATCCACCCTGGGATCCTTCAGTCCGTAGGTCAATGCTCTATCCACTGAGCCAAACCGGCTAGGACTCCCTTATCATTTTGATTGTCAAAAGCAGTGGCAGGCCGAAACGGGTTTGGCTCAGTGGATAGAGCGTCGGCCTGCCGGCTGAAAGGTCCCAGGTTCGATTCCGGTCAAGGGCATGTACCTGGGTTGCAGTCACATCCCTAGTAGGAGATGTGCAGGAGACAGCTGATCAATGTTTCTCTCTCATCAATGATTCTGACTCACTATCTCTCTCCCTTCCTCTCTGTAAAAAATCAATAAAATATATTTTTTAAAAAAAGCAGTGGCAGGAACTGCTGGGCAGGCTTGGTTGGAGCTATTGGAAGAGGTGAGAATGACAGTGAAACCTTCATCCTGTGAAAACTTTCAGGGTTGATTTATTTGGAAATAGTAGAATTTTTCAGATATCTGACAGTTCTCTTCCTTTTTGAACCAAAATGTTAATTTTAACTACTTTCAATGAAAATTTCCAAAATTATGACATTTTTTTTTAGTTTAAAATAATATAAAAATAGAAAAGTCTTCTTGATGACAGGTCCAACAATTATAGCCCTGGGCTATAATTTAGTGATGTCCTTAGGCCATTTTGAATATGTAGGTGCCTCTAATACACTTAGCTAAATGGCCTCAGGCTGACACTTTAAAAATTCCTAGGTGTAGTTTTTAGAACTGTTTTACCTTTTCCTACCCGCCAGTTCTCACTTTTAAGTTTGTCAGTTTAGTTGCTTACAGAGGCTCCTCTTCATTTCTCTTCCTAATTGACTCTCTAGTTTCCAAACTTAATGCATCACTTGCTGTCCATATGTATAAAGTAGGTGTAAATTGCCCTTTAATAAGGTTGTTGTGGGTCTTTTATGAGTGAAGTCTGTGCCGTTAGTGTGTTAGGCCTTGGGGAAACTATTTTTGCCAGTGAAAAGACCCTTTTTGGGGGAAGAAAGTGCCTGATTTCTGGCTGGGTGAGGCATTGTTGTGCTGCATTTGTAGAAAGGAAGCATGCTAAAGAGTTGTTAGCTATGGTTGGCAGCTCTTACTAGGCTTTTTGCGATTTCAGTAAAGGGGGATGATGTACTTGGTTGTAGAAACTCCTCTGAGCTCAATGGGTCAGTAAGTAAAAGGGGTATTGATGGATGGCTCTGTGGCTTGTGTGATGGGAAAAGATGGAGGAGCTCCGGGAAGAAGGTAACTCTTGTTTATATAACCCTCCAGAAAAAATTCATGCATATACACGCAAAGGCATATATACACAGATGGGATTTTAGCAGAAGGATTTTGAATTTGATTTATATCGGTTCTACTTAGCAGTAATGAAAACAGCATTCCGTTGTATTTAGCAAACCTACCTGTCCAAAGTATTCTGCCAGGTGCTGTGGGGGATAGCAAATAAATAAGACATGGATCATGCCCTCAAAGGGCTTGTAGTCCACAGACGGACAAGGGCCAGGACATAGAAATATGGAAGAGTGAACCAAGGGTAGTTAGGAGTCCTTCAGTTGCAAGAGATCGAAAACCCAACTCAGACCAGCTTAGCAAAAAGGGACTGAATTGGCTTCTAGCACAGCAGGAGGTAGGACTCAGATGGGTTCTATCTGTTGCTCCTGCCTGAGCTGGGCTTGGCTGGGCTGGTTCCCCTGTTGGTGTGGCAGCAGCATCCCTCACATCCCACCTGCTCACAGAGCAGAGTAATCTTTTTTGGAAGGACTAGTAAACATTTCACTGCTTTTCATTGGCTCTGACCAAGCCATGTGGCCATCTCTGAGCCAATCACTGTGGTCAGAGGGTGGAGCCTGGGGTTGGCACCAGCTAGATGCCAAGATCATTGGCCAGGATTGGGGGATGGGTGTTTACAATCAAAGCTGAATGGTGAATGCATGCTGGCAAGCCCAAGAACTCACCAATGTTTCCACAAAGTGATAATAATAGATGTGAACTGAGACTATTTGCCAGTCTCTAAACTCTGTATCAGGACGCTGTAGACCGAACTGTAATTCTTTTTTTTAAAAAAATATATATTTTTACTGATTTCAGAGAGGAAGGGAGAGGGAGAGAGATAGAAACATCAATGATGAGAAAGAATCATTGATTGGCTGCCTCCTGCACGCCCCCCACTGGGGACCGAGCCCATAACCCAGGCATGTGCCCTTGACCGGAACTGAACCCGGGATCCTTCAGTCCACAAGCCAACGCTCCATTCACTGAGCCAAACCAGCTGGCCGAGCTGTAATTCTTAGATTTGGGTATTATCTGTATTTTGAGCCTTGAAGAAAATAGAGTGTAGTGCATCAGACCATGAATTCTGGAGGTTGGTTTTGAGTCCTGGCTCTGTTACAGCTGGGTCACCTCCTATCTTCTTCTTTTTTTCTTTTAATATATTTTTATTGATTTCAGAGAGGAAGGGAGAGGGAGAGAGAGACAGAAAAATCAATGATGAGAATCATTGATCGGCTGCCTCCTGCATGCCCCCTACTGGGGATCGAGCCTGCAACCCGGGCATGTGTCCTTGACTGGAATCAAACCCGGGACCCTTCAGTCCGAAGGCCAACTCTCTATCCACTGAGCCAAACCAGCTAGGGCTCCTATTTTCTTTGATTCTCAATTTCCTTATGGAAAAACAGGGACAATATTGGTGTTTTGTTATAGAGTTTTAATAAAAATTCATTGGAAAGAATCAAACACTATGTACTGTGCCCACACGCAATTGTTGTTTTTCATAAATTAACTCAGTTGGACAACCTCTTATTTCTGTTAGGTCCAAAACAGCCCACATCATAAAGACACTACTGAACCAATGTTTGGGAAAGAATTTTCTTTTTAAATAGATTTTTATTGATTTCAGAGAATGAGGGAGGGATAGAGAGATAGAAACATCAATGATGAGATAGTCATTGATTGGCTGTTTCCTGCATGACCCATACTGGGGATTGAGCCTGAAACCTGGGCATGTGCCCTGATTGGGAATTGAACCGTGACTTCCTGGTTCATAGGTTAATGCTCAACCACTGAGCCACGCCAGCCGGGCAGGGAAAAATTTTTTTTAAAAATATTAAAAGTGGCCCCAACCGGTTTGGCTCAGTGGATAGTGTGTTGGCCTGCGGACTCAAGGGTCCCAGGTTCGATTCCGGTCAAGGGCATGTGCCTTGGTTGTGGGCACATCCCCAGTGGGGAGTGTGCAGGAGGCAGCTGATTGATGTTTCTCTCGCATCGATGTTTCTAACTCTCTATCCCTCTCCCTTCCTCTCTTTAAAAAAAAAAAAATTTCAATAAAAATATATTTAAAAAATATTAAAAGTGAACATCTTATTTGTAAGGTTGAGATTTGTGAATCAACTTTTTAAAAATCTTGGCAGAGATCAGGCTACTCCGGAGCAGCAGCAGCTGGTGAAGAAATGGAGATGCAATCCTACTATGCCAAGCTCTTGGGGGAGTTGAACGAACAGCGGAAGAGGGATTTTTTCTGTGACTGTAGCATCATTGTGGAAGGGCGGATCTTTAAGGCCCACAGGAATATTTTGTTTGCCAACAGCGGCTACTTCCGAGCCCTGCTCATTCACTATATCCAGGACAGCGGGCGGCACAGCACCGCCTCCTTGGACATTGTCACCTCCGATGCCTTTTCCATCATCTTAGATTTCCTGTATTCTGGGAAGTTGGATTTGTGTGGGGAAAACGTGATTGAAGTTATGTCGGCCGCCAGTTACCTACAGATGAATGATGTGGTAAACTTCTGCAAGACATATATTCGGTCATCCTTTGATATCTGCCGAAAGATGGAGAAGGAGGCTGCTGTGGCTGCAGCGGTGGCAGCGGCAACTGCAGCTGCAGCAGCTCATCAGGTTGACGGTGGAAGCCCCAGTTCAGGCACGGAAGGGGCCTCCTGTGATACCAAGAGCTTGGTCTCCTCTACAGCCAAGGAAGAAGAGTGTGTGGACTGTCCAAAGGAGTCCCCTTGTGGTGACTGCCGCCCCCTGGAACCGGTGGTGAAAGACAGCGAGGGCAGTGGCTCAGCTGACAGTGACCTCTCTACTCTGCCCAAGCAGATAGAGCCCAAGGTGGAGTTTGATGCTGACGAAGTGGAGCAGGTGGAGGTGGGTGAGCAGCTCCAGCAATATGCTGCGCCACTGAACCTGGCCCACATGGAGGAGGGTTTGCCCAGTGGCCATCCCGTGGACGTGTCTTACGGTAACTACCACGTGAAGCAATTCTTGGAGGCCCTCTTGCGCAACGGTGCTGTCCAGAGCAAAGATGATGCGGATCATCACTTTTCTCGGAGTTTGGAGGGAAGACCAGATGGTGTAGGGGGAGCCATGAGTTCCATGATGGATGTCCCGACCGACTGGTATGGCGAGGATTCAGGTGAGTTCCATTAGCATTCATCGTCTCTGCTGGTCATTTAGCGCCCACATCTGTGCCTTATAGTCTCCCATCATCGTCGTGTCATTACCATCATCATTACCACCATCATCATTACTAATTGCCATCACCATCACTATCACTGCATTATCTCCACCACCATCACAACCAATAGGTATTAATTGAGTAGGGCATTGTTTCTTCAAGTATGTTAGTATGTTAGTATTTTACCTCTCCAACTAGAGTATAAGCATGTTGAGGGGCAGTTTGAAGAAATGGAAAGAATCTACTGTCTTCCACTAACCAGCAGTGGGACTTGGGTTAAATCATTAAATCTCTCTGAACTTGTTCAGGAGATAATCATCCCTATCTTGCCTTTTTTACAGGATTGAGGACCAATTGAGACGGTTTTCATAATTTTTCTCTCACATATAATAGGAAATTTATTCTTTGTGTCAACCATGGTGCCTGACGCATAACAGACATTCGTAACATCTTATGGTTGATGGTATGATGTATTTGAGAATATTTTAGAGTTGGCATTTGGCTTCATTTGAGTAAGTTTCTGGGGTTTTTTAAAATATATTTTTATTGATTTCAGAGAGGAAGGGAGAGGGAGAGAGAGAAACATTGATATGAGAATGCAACATCAATCAGCGGCTTCTACCATGGATCAAGCCTGAAACGCAGGCATGTGCCCTTAACCAGGAATCAAACTGGCAACCTCCCAGTGCACAGGACTATGCCCCACCAACTGAGCAACACCAGCCAGGCTGGCACATGTATTCTTTTTCTTTTCTTTATTTTTTTTTGGCACATGTATTCTTTATTGAATCTTACTAGTATTCTTTAAGGGACAAACAAGCAGATGAGTAGGCTACAGTGAAGAAATCTCATATTTTATTTTTTTAAATATATTTTTATTTTTAGAGAGGAAGGGAGAGGGGAAGAGAGAGATAGGAACATCACTGATGAGAGAGAATCATTGATTGTCTGCCTGCTGCATGCCCCCTACTGGGGATGGAGCCCTGACCGGAATCAAACCGTGACCTCTTGGTTCATAGGTTGAAACTCAACCACTGAGCCACACCGGACCAGGGAAGAAATCTTATTTTTATAAGAGAATTAAGGCACTAAGATACTTCTAGGTATTATCTCAGTGATGCTTCTTAGCTTTATTCTGGGATTCCAGGTAATATTCAGCCCCTACAGCTACCACAAATGCAGCAAATCCCCATTTAAATCCTTTTATTAATGAACTAACAAAGGAAACATTGTTTGCTAAGCCACCCCTGTATCTCCAAGTTTCATTGCAGTCCCCATAGCCCTCTTACAGCCAGCTTTTCCTGTATGGTTCTTAATGGTAACCCTTCTATCTTCCATGTTTATAATCTGGAAGTTCCATTTTACTATGACCGTGTTCCATGTCTGACAGCAATCTAACCTCTCAGGACATTCAATATTTAATCCTCCATGTGAACAAATTTCTTATATACTTTGTTAGGCTTTTTTGTTTTAAGAGAACTTGTGTTCCTGAACAATTCTGAAAGATTTGTGAGCTAATTGTGTCTCATAGGAGATAGAAATACACTTGGCTGTCACCTTCCTGATAAAAGTACCCTATAGCTTCTAGAGCAGCGGTTCTCAACCTGTGGGTCGAGACCCCTTTGGCGGTCGAACGACCCTTTCACAGGGGTCGCCTAAGACCATCCTACGATTCATAACAGTAGCAACATTACAGTTATGAGGTAGCAACGAAAATAATTTTATGGTTGAGTCACAACATGAGGAACTGTATTTAAAAGGCCAGAAGGTTGAGAACCACTGTTCTAGAACCTGAAGCCAAGAAATTAATGAATCAAAATTCTTATACACCTTTCAACATGGAACAGTGAAAGTATTTTAAATAAGGGAGATCAGCTGCTTTTATTTGTTACTAGTGAACTGTCTTTAGATTTTTTAATTTCATTTTTTTAAATATATATTTTTATTGATTTCAGAGAGGAAGGGAGAGGGAGAGAGAGAAACATCCATGATGAGAGAGAATCATGCATCGGTTGCCTCCTACACACCCCTTATTGGGGATCAAACCTACAACCCGGGCATGTGCCCTGACTGGAAATCGAACCCATGACCTCCTGGTTCATAGGTCGATGCTCAACCACTGAGCCACACCAGCTGGGCTAATTTCATTTTTTGAAGCAAGAACACTGTGTATGTCTGATTAAAATTAGACTTGAGCCCTGGCCAGTTTGGCTCGGTGGATAGAGTGTCAGCCTGTGGACTGAAGGGTCCCAGGTTCGATTCCGGTCAAGGGCACATGCCTGGGTTGCGGGCTAGGTCCCTGGTGGGGGTCATGCAGGAGGAAGCCGATCAATGACTCTCATCATTGATGTTTCTATCTCTCTCTCCTCCCCTCCCTTCCTCTCTGAAAGTAATAAAAATATATTTTTTAAAACTTAGACTTGAGCCGAAACCGGTTTGGCTCAGTGGATAGAGCGTCGGCCTGCAGACTGAAAGGTCCCAGGTTCGATTCCGGTCAAGGCATGTACCTGGGTTGCGGGCACATCCCCAGTAGGAGATGTGCAGGAGGCAGCTGGTCGATGTTTCTCTCTCATCGATGTTTCTAACTCTTCATCTCTCTCCCTTCCTCTCTGTAAAAAAAATCAATAAAATATATTTAAAAAAAAAAGAATGTACAATTGCATTTAAAAAAAAATTTGACTTGAAAAACTTAAAAATGCCGTTTCTGGTTCTCAGAGACACTGTCTTAACCAACATTTAGAAGGTAGCAGCTGTTTTCACGGAACACACTATGGGAAGTTGTTGAAATCTCATTTCCGTGTACATAATAGCACTTCACAGATTGTAATCACTGCTTAACATTCATTGGACCTTCATCATGTCCATGAGTTTGGCAAAGGAAATGTAGAGAAACTGAGACTCAGAAGGGTTTAGTGAGTTTCCTGAGTTACAGAGCTGGTAAGTGGCACAGCTAAAACTAGAAACCTGGGCTGGCTTCACTTCACTCATTAAACAAACTGAGGGCAGCACAAGTGGATAGAGGATTTCAGTGCAATGATTTTGTCTTTCAACGCCCTCTGCCTGTATGGACAAGTATCAAAAAGTAATTCAGCTGTGTGCCATTCTCATTCAAGTCCTGTCTATTAGCCTATGAAGTCAGGTTTCCAACTACAGGGTGTTGTGGCAAGGCAGCCACCCTGGCCCCTGGCCATACCTGTTGTCTGCCAGGTTTTTATTCCACTCACACAACTCCAGGCTAAACTCACTGTAAGTGCCAAGGCACAGAGTAGGACTGATATGTTTGGTCATTCATTTTTTTAAATATATATATTTTTTTATTGATTTCAGAAAGAAAGGGAGCGTGAGAGAGAGACATCAATGATGAGAGAGAATCATTGATAGGCTGCCTCCTGTATGCCCCACACTGGGGATCGAGCCCACAACCCGGGCATGTGCCCTGACCGGGAATTGAACCGTGACCTCCTGGTTCATAGGTTGACACTCAACCACTGAGCCATGCAAGCCGGTCTGGTCATTCATTTATTTGCTCAAATATTTGAGTAGCTTCTTGATGAAGCTACAAGGATAAGTCAGACATGAATCCAGCCCTTAACAAACTTAGAGGAGATAAGACGTGTATAATCACATGACCTAAAGGTACTAGGGCTGGAAGACAGATGGAAGTGTGAGTTTCATAGTTATCCAAAAGCTGAGAACTGGCTTCCTACTGGGAGATCAGGGAGGCTTTATGAATGTGGCATCTGAGGATAAGAAGAGACATAGAAAGAAATTGACTAGCATCAGATCATGGGAAATCTTGAGTGCTAAGAGATGAGGTTTTTATCTGTAGGCACAGGGGAGATTTTCCATATTCTGAGCTTGGGAGGTGACAGGATCTGTGCTTTAGGGAGCTTAATTTGGCCTCAGCACAAGATGGTATACAGCTGGGAGACCAGGGCAAGGAGATGGTCAATAGTTTCATATCCATGTTGCTCATCCCAGCATTCGCTGATACTGTCAAAGCATAATGTCCTGCTATAATCAATAAAAATATATTTTAAGTCCTAACCGGTTTGGCTCAGTGGATAGAGTGTTGGCCTGCGGACTGAAGGGTCCCAGGTTCAATTCTGGTCAAGGGCATGTACCTTGGTTGCAGGCACATCCCCAGTAGGGGGTGTGCAGGAGGCAGCTGATCGATGTTTCTCTCATCATTGTTTCTAACTATCCCTCTCTGTAAAAAATATCAATAAAATATATTTAAATATATATATATATATATTTTTTTTTTTCCTTAAAAAAACCTTAGGGTTTCAAAAATATGTATATTTTTATGGATTTTAGAGAGCGGAAGAGAGAGGGAGAGAGAGATAGAACATCGATCGGCTGCCTCCTGCACACCCCATACTGGGGATCAAGCCCACAATCTGGGCATATGCCCTGACCTGGAATCAACCACTGAGCCACACCAGCTGGGGAAGATCTTAGAGTTTTTGAGGCCAAAGGAGGGACCGTGGTCTGGAATTGACAGTGAAGCACAAAAGAAACCCTACATACCTCCAACCCAGGGGTGTGGGCTATGGGTTAGGGAAGTAGAGTGCCCAAGAGAGAGGCAGGGCTCAGGTAAAGTAACCACTCCAATCTTCTGCCTCTCAAAACTGTGTTCTTCCCTTCTTTCCCTAAGCTCCAGATATATCTATCCCGAAGGGCATGGATAGAGGGAACAAGTCTTGGAATTCTGCAGTAAGGGTAACTCATGTAACTTGAAAGGAACAGTTTCTATACAGTCACCTTAATGGTTGTATGAGCAAGGTAAACAAGCAAACAAAAAGTTGGAAAGAGATTTAAGTGAATTCCTGGATATTTGATGATTTCAGATATATAGAGTGAATGTGAATTCCAACAATTTAAGTCTGCATCATTGCAAACCTCTTCTGTACATGCCTGGAAACTCTTCTGAGGAGCTACTGTCAAAACGTGAAACCTAGTCCAGAGGTCTGATCCATCCACTATCATGACCTGCGCTGGTGGCATTCTGCAGCCCCAGATCCCATCCGTCGGAGGCGTGGCCAGTGTTGTTGCTGCTTACAGTACAGCTAAATTAATCTATTTGGTTTCCTAGGCGATGTGCTGGTGGTCCCCATCAAGCTCCACAGATGTCCTTTCTGCCCTTACACTGCCAAACAGAAGGGCATCCTTAAGCGGCACATCCGCTCACACACGGGTGAGCGGCCCTACCCCTGTGAGATCTGTGGCAAGAGATTCACTCGACAGGAGCACCTGCGGAGCCATGCCCTGAGCGTAAGTGAGCTGGCAAATCTTTTGTGGTGTGTGTGTGTGGGTGGCTCCTGACATTTGTCCAACGTAGCAATTTTTAACCAGTGTGCCGCAAGAATTTTTAAAACATGCAATACCTGACTGTGTAGTCAGGGGCACTGACCTCTTTCCCCTTAGATTGTCAAATTAAAAACTGACAACAGCGAACACAACAATAGTTGTCCCGTGTGAATGAATCAAAAGTATACCTATATTTTTGTCAGATCGGCAAATCAAAGCCATAATGAAATGCCACTTTACACCCACTAGGATGACTAGCATCAAAAAATGGATAATAGCAAAGTGTTGGCAAGGATGTGGAGAAATTGGAAACTTTATACATTGCTGGTGGGAATGTAAAATGGTGCAGCCGCTATAGACAACAGTTTGGCGGTTCCTCAAAAAGTTAAACATAAAGTTACTATAGGACTCAACAATTCTACTTTTATATAACCAAGAGAACTGAACACACATTCACACAAAAATTTGCACACAAATGTTCAGAGCAACATTATTCATAATAGTAAACAAGTGGAAACAACCCAAATGCCCATCAACTGATGAATGAACAAACAAAAGGTGTATCTATACAATGGAATGTTACTCAGCATAAAATGAAAGGAAGTTCTGATTCACATAACAACATGGATGAACCTTGAAAACATGCTAAGTGAAAGAAGCCAGTCACAAAGGACCACATACTGTATGATTCCATTTTTTTAAATAAATTTTATTGATTTTTTACAGAGAGGGAGGGAGAGGGATAGAGAGTTAGAAACATCGATGAGAGAGAAACATCGATCAGCTGCCTCCTGCACACTCCCCACTGGGGATGTGCCTGCAACCAAGGCACATGCCCCTGACCGGAATCAAACCTGGGACCCTTGAGTCTGCAGGCCGACGCTCTATCCACTGAGCCAAACCGGTCAGGGCTGTATGATTCCATTTTTAAAAAATATATATATTTATTGATTTCAGAGAAGAAGGGAGAGGGATAGAGAGATAGAAACATCAATGATGAGAGAGAATCATTGATTGGCTGCCTCATGCACGCCCCCTACTGGGGATCGAGCCTGCAACCCGGGCTTGTGCTCTTGACTGGAATTGAACCCATTACCCTTCAGTCCGCAGGCCAACGCTCTATCCACTGAGCCAAACCAGCCAGGGCTATTTTTAATTTTTTAATACTTTCATTGATTTGAGAGAGGAAGGGAGAGAGATAGAGAGATAGAAACATCAATGATGAGAGAGAATCATTGATCGACTGCCTCCTACACGTTCCCTACCGGGGGGGAAATCGAGCCCGTAACCCGGGCATGTGCCCTTGGCCAGAATTGAACCTGGGAATCGAAGCTGGGACCCTTTAGTCCACAGGCTGATGCTCTATCCACTGAACCAAACCGGCCAGGGCTGTATGATTCCATTATATGAAATGTACAAAATGGAAAGACCCATGAAGATAGAGAATAGATTAGGGGTTGCCAGAGGCTGGGAGTGGGTGGGGATGGGAAAGAGGTGACCATTAGTAGGCACAGGGGTGATGAAAATGTGGAATTAGATGGTTGGAATGGTTGCACAATCTTGTGACTCGACTAAGAACCACTGAATTGTACACTTTAAGAGGAAAACTTTATGGTATGAATTATGGTTCTGAAGGAATCCAGATTGAAGATAAGTGCAAGGTTACTGCCTTTGCTGTCAGTACTGGCCCCAGCATACTTGTCTGAGAATGGCCTCCTCCCAAGGACTTAAGTTTTTGTTTGTTTGTCTCCCTCCCCCCCTCCCCCGCCCCCCAATTTATATCTACAGTCACTCTTGGCAGCAGTAGGTCCCTGGGTGCCTCTAAGATGGTTTATCGGTTGGAATCCTCATTTCCTCTCTTTTTCCACATTATACAAGCCCTGGCAGTTTGAAAGGTTATAAGATACACACTCAGGTTAGCTCAGGTGTGGGGGTTTAGCATAGGAAGCTCAGGAAACCTCATGGGAATCAGGGACATTGGTCAGAATGAAATGGCAGCTCCAGCACCTGGATAGCGTGTTTTTGGCCCTTCTTCTGCATCAGCCTCTCTTCTCTGCTGCTTGCATGTACCCACATCCATAGCTCTCCAAAAGAGAGGCTCTGACTGGTTCACAGAGCCCTTTTTGACTGGAGTTCCTGAAGAGTGCACACATTTGCAAGATAGTTCCTTACACAAGGGTCCCCTGGGGCTGTGTGGGGTAGGAAATGTAAAAGGCAAGGGTGAAGCATTGGCTGGCACATCGGGGGATTACACTGTCTAGCAAATCTGCCTCCCTAATAACTAAACAGCCCAAGGTTCATAGAAGCCATGCCTAAAACCCCACCCGGTTCACTGAGTGCCTTTACATGCCTGGCACTGGGAATATAGTAACACGTGTGACAGAGGACAACCAGTTTGGAACTTACAGTTTAGTGAATTTTACCAAGGATTTGTTAAAAATACAGTAGTCTCCTCTTATCCACAATCTAGCTTCCCACAGTTTCAGGTACCTGTGGTCAACTGTGATCTGAAAATATTAAGTGGAAAATTCCATAAATAAATAGTTCATAAGTTTTAAATTGCATGATGTGCTGAGTAGTGTGATGACATCTCTCGCACCGCACTCCATCCAATCCAGGATGTGAATCACCCCTTTGGTGGTGTCTCCGCACTGTACTCGTCTATGCTTCCTGCTCATTCATTAGTCACTTAGGAGCTGTCTTGGTTATCAGGTTGACTTGTGGTATCGCAGTGCTTGTGCACATGTAACCCGTATTCTACTTAATAATGGCCCCAGAACACGAGACTAGCATGCTGGCAATTTGGATGCCAAAGAAAAGCCATAAAGAGCTTCCCTTAAGTGAAAAGGTATGTATGTATAGGAGAAAACATAGTCTATATAGCAGCGGTTCTCAACCTGTGGCATTAGTAAGGAGCAGGGGTTGGCAATGGGGAGGAGGGCACATTCCACGGATGTCCAGTGGCCCTGGGTGGAAAGGACCTTGGTGAGGCTGAGAATATGGCAGATGGAACAAGGGGAAGAGCGGTGAGAAATGAGGTTGGAGGGTCAACCAGGGCCCTCATCACATGGGGCCTTGAAGGTCACGGCTCAACCCCATTTCTGTGACATTGACTGTATCTACTTGTGGTTTTAGGTCCACAGATCCAACTGTCCAATCATCTGCAAGGGCTGCAGAAGAACCTTCACGAATCACCTGTCACAGGGGCTGAGGCGCTTTGGGCTGTGTGACAGCTGCACCTGCGTTGCAGACACACATGATGATGAGTACAGTTTGATGCCCATCAACCTTAGCCTGGTGGAGGCTTCATCCGAAAGCCAAGAAAAGAGTGACACAGACAATGATTGGCCAATCTATGTGGAGTCTGGTGAGGAAAATGACCCTGCCGGAGAGGATTCTGACGACAGACCACCAATGCAGCCCAACCTAACAGACCGAGAGACACTCATGTAGCAGCAGATTCGGGGGAAGAGGTTTTGGAATTTGTTATCGCTCATTCTGTGGTTGAACCCTGAGACGAACATTTTTTTCAGTGTCAATATATTTGCATTTTTGTTAGATGACCTAGTAGAGGTTGGATTTTGTGACTCAAAGGACTAATGAGTTTTTAGTTTGGTGCCCTTGATTTCTGAGGGCTTGGCTGACCTTTCCTTAATTCTGAGTGAATAAGGCTGGCCCTCAGGCTTCCTGTTTTTCCTGTTGTGCACCTGAACTCCGGTTAGGAGAAAGATAAGAAACCCCCCATGCTTGTTTTCATAGCGTCTCAATCTCTGCATTCCTTAGGGGTCATCCTCTTTTCTCTGAAAAGGTGGGCAAGAATGTATTAAGTTTTGAGAATAATTTTACCTCTGCCAAGCCTCTCCTGATGAATTCCATATTCTAATTTTCCGAAGTACTTAAGAGAAAGCTTTATTGATACAAGGCAGGCGGGGCCGCCTTAGACATGATTGTAAAAGCTACTTTCTAAATCTAAGACTGCAAACGGTAAAAGCTGGGGGTGTTTGTGTGCATACAAGCACGGAAATAAGCTCAAAGCCTTCTTATGGCACTTTGACTTGCCCAGTGGAATTACATTTTAAGTTTGCCCCGGGAAGGGACCCTGTGAGCCCAGGTCTGGATGGTTTCCCTGCTTCGTTTGGTATTTGACAATTCTCATCACACAAATAACCTGTTTTGTGATCATAAAACAAATCATCTGGGCAAAACTAAAAATTCTCCCCTGCTTTTTCGAGCCATTTCCAAAGGCCACACTGCTGGAACTGTCGCTACCACTGACATTCTTTTACTTAGTTTGTGAATGGAACTTTAATTGGAGGGAAAGTGTAAGCCTATCTAAGCAAGATATATTTCTAAATTGCTTACCTTTTAAAAGATCTGCTGGAAGAAAAGAGAAGTTTGTAGAAGTACAGGTTTTTAAAACCAGTCTGCTTTTCCCCTCTTAGCAGCCATGCAATTATTCTAACAAAAGGCTGCACTTCTTTAAAGGGCTAAAAAGCAGGAAATATTAGGGATTTAAAATATTTAAGGCACTTTCATAATTTTGTCTTATGTTGAGGTATCCAAAATGGATTTTCAAAGAAATCCCTAATGAAACGAAGTATGCAAACAAAACAGTTTCCTTTGAACTTTGAAAAAAATAAAAGAAATCCCTTTTTCTTCCTTTAATTTAGTATAGTTATGTTTCAAAAGGTAGTAAAATCACTTTTTTCCTGTCTCTTAAACAAAAAGATCTTCAAAACATCATAAATTGGCTTGTAAATGCTAGTCATTGAAGAGTTCAAAGGTATTTAAACTACTCAGTAGAAGTTAAAGTTTAGCTAGTGTGACTCAAACTGTGGTCCTCACACGGGTGCCGGTCTGTGAGTTGTTTGATACCAGTCCACACAGCAGGACCATGTATTGGTCTGCAGTAGATTGGAAATTTTAAAATTGGTCGTTTGCCCTGGCTGGTGTGGCTCAGTGATTCGAGAATCAGAATGGGTGTGCTGTATTCCAATAAAACTTTACTTGCAAAAAACAGGCAGCAAGCAGGATTTGGCCCAACCTGTTTTAGGTAGTACTTTTATTTTTCTCTTACTAAATGAAGTTAATGAGTCTTCAAACAGAAAATGTATTTAGTGTTTAGTGTTAGCAGTTCTATATTATTATAGGTAATCTTTTTTAAATCTATAGGCGATAGCCCAGCAGAGTGGCTCAGTGGTTGGGTGTTGACCTATGAACCAGGAGGTCACAATTTGATTCCCAGGCAGGCTGATGCTCGGTCAGGGCACGTGCCTGGGTTGTGGGCTCTTGTGGGCTCCGTCCCAGGTGTGGGGAATGTGGGAGGCGGCCAATTGATGGTTCTCTCTCATCATTGATGTTTCTGTTTCTCGCTCCCCCCTCCCTTCCTCTCTGCAATCAATAAACATATATTTTTAAAAAATCTATAGGATATAGCCCTGGCTGGCATGCCTCAGTGGTTAGAGCATCAGCCTGGGCAATGAAGGGTCTCGGGTTCGATTTCCAGTCAAAGGCATGTACCTGAGTTGCAGGTTCGCTTCCCGCCCCAGATTGGGTGCCTGCGGGAGGCAACCAGCCTATGTATCTCTCTTACATGGATGATACTCACCTCCCTTTTCCTCCCTTTCTCCCTCCCTCCCTTCCACTCTCTGAAAAGCAATGGGAAAAATATCCTCGGGTGAGGATTAACAGAACAAGAAAGAAAAAATGGTCTTTTACCACAGATAGTTTCAAAATTATTGTTCTAGATCAAGAGGTGCAAATTGAAACTTATTTAGGACCAGAAACATTTTTCTTAACCTAAAATGAAAATATTAGCTGTTGTTTTAATAGAGGGATCTTAGCGAAAGGCAAACCTAAATGGATGTGTAGAGGCTATACTTTGCAAGGAGTTATGTTTGATTGTTTTTGCTCTCTCTGTTTAAAGTATTTTTGATATTTTAAAAGACTCTTCTACCTCACAATTTCACTTCTCTGCCTAGTTTCTCTGGTAGAGCAAGGAGCCTCTTCAGTGACCCCATGACCTGTTCATATTACTGGGTGCAAAGTAAAAAATTTACATTAGAGATTTTATTGTAAGACAGTGATTCTCAACTGGGGGTGATTTTGCCCCCCAGAGGAGATTTGGCGATGTCTGGAGACTTTCTTAATTGTTACAACTGGGGCAGGGAGCTGCTAGCATCTAGTGGGTAGAGGAAAGGATGCTGCTAAAATCCTACAATTTATAGGATGGTCTCTTACAACAAAGAATTATCTAGTCCAACGTGTTAAGAGTTCAAGGTTAAGAAACCCCACTAAAAAGTAAGATTTTTAAAAAATGACTTTGAGTGAAGTTAATTTTGTGTTATATTTTAAGCTACGCTACCTTTTACCTTCTTAATATAAATAGACTCTTCCCTGGTCGGTGTGGCTCAGTTGGTTGGAGCATCGTCCTGTACCTTGAAAGGTCACGGGTTCGATTGCCCGTTAGGGCACATACCCAGGTTGTGGGTTCAATCCCCTGTCAGGGTGTATGTGGGATGCGACCGATCGAGGTTTCTCTCTCCTTTTCCTTTCTGTCTCTAAAAATCAATAAAAACATGTCTTATTGATTTTTTAAATTTTAAAAATATTAATAAGCCCTTATACTCCCACAAGTTTTGGAAAATAGTGGATTAGCAAAATAGGGAGTAGAGGCCAAATAATTCACAACTTGCCCGTAACCTGATTAGGTCTGTGATACGGAAACTTAGGAATTCTGACTGAGACTCACACCCCCAGAATTACTCTAGGCTTTTATCATTTTATTAAATTTTAAAGTAGCAGAATCACTGGAAGGAAAACGGAACATGAAGCTTAATATTTAAGTGACTCTCTTTTTCCATAATACTTTAGATTGTTGCATTCCTGTTTGGCTGTTCAGAGTTTGTGTGTTGACATTCATAGTAACTAGATCACTGAATTCTGTCACTTTTAAAGGAGATCTTTGGACTATCAGGTCACAGACTGTCCTGTTTTAAATTTATGTTCACATTTGGTGATCAGTATTTATAATCTGCACAGTGTCTTTGAGGTGTAATTTGTGTTGTTGGTGGTGATATTTTTATAATAAGTAAATTCACAGTTGGGTCCAACACAGACTATTTGTGATTTAGGTTATGTTCTGACATCTTTCTGGCACATCTGCCCAAGTTCACAAAGGATACTTTTATCTTATATCAGATATATTGCATGAATGGGAACAGGATTTTTACTTCTAATGGAATTTAAAAGTGGCATCCTTGGAAAGTTTCTCTTGGGGGAAGGGGTCAGGCTTTCATAGCAAGGGTTGGGGAGAAATGTAAATAAGACCTATAATTGTAATAAATTAAGAAATGACATAGAGCATCATGACTTCTGGTCATTTGGCAGGAAGATGCCATTCTGGTGTAAATATTTTGGTAGCCATTAGACTTTGAATATTCCTTAAGAAAATGACTGACCTAGTGGTCTGCAGAATGCTGTGGCATTGAGTGTTCTGGTGGTTCAGAATGCTGTGATGGTTTTTTGTTATTGTTGTTAATTGATGTTGCGACAAACCCCATAGAAAGGCAACAGGTAGGGCTCCAGGTACTGATTCTGAGGGCAGTGGGGAAGACTGGAGTAGCTTTTGGTCAACTGAATGTACACTGTTTCATTTGGACTTCTAGGTTTTTATTGTGTGTCCCTTGTGCATTGACAATGGAGTTATCTCTGTGAGGGGCAAAGGGTTGGGTGGGTGAGAAATCCTATTATACTCTGTTTTGAGTATTACCACTGTACTTCCTGTTGTTGGTCTTTTATAGCTTCTCTTGTGCTTTCACGTGATCACACTATCTTCTAACCCAAAAAAAAAGGAGCACTTTATTCAGTTGCTTCTGATGGGCAGTGTTTTCATTCATTTTTATTCAGTATTTCCACAACATCCCTTATTACTATGTTCCTCAAACCTGTCAATATAGCGCTGAAAAATTGAATTCTTTTCTTCAAATAATGCTTCTGTAGAGACAAATGGGGAAAAAATGGCAGGAATAGTTTGGTTGGTTTCTAACATGTCCTAGTTTTAATTCACGCCATTGTGATCAGATGATATAGAACCTTCCTAAGTTCAGGGGGACCTTCAGCAGAGGTAGACTCTCCAGGTAGGTAATTTTACTACTGCCAATTCTTCATTGACAACTGTGATTTTGGGGAGCAATTTTTATGTTCATCACTTGAGTTTTGAACAAGGAGACGACCCACATCAGGCAAGTATGGGAGTTATCTTGGCTAAAAAACCTCTTGTCCCACGGGAGCAAGTATCTTTTCTAACAACTCCACAGTCATAGCTTCTAGGATCCTGAAAGAGATGTTTATTCCAAGGGTCACTGTACTTAGGGAAGCCCAGGGCTGTGGCTTCCTATCAGGTACTTATAGTTCTCCCAGTCTGAATGCAATTTACCAGTTAGGGGTCATTTCTACCATAGGTAACGCTCCTAGCAATATAGTTGACATACTACTCTTTAGTAGGTTGTCAGGGGAACAGAGCTAGGAAGTTAACCAGAGGTCAAATTCTCACACTGAAGGAGAAAAGGTTCTGTTAATCCTTTACCAAACAGTATGCTAAGCAATTGCACAATAGATAGTCCATCTAGTTCCTATAAAATATAACCAGGGGAATTTCCAATTAAAATATAGCCAACACCGCCCCACTGGCGTGGCTCAGTGGTTGAGCATTGACCTATGAACCGGGAGGTCACGGTTCCATTCCTAGTCAGGGCACGTGCCCGGGTTGCGGGCTTGATCCCCAGTGTGGGGCCTGCAGGAGGCAACCAATCAATGATTCTCTCATCATTGATGTTTATATTGCCCTTTCCCTTCCTCTCTGAAATCAATAAAAATATAAAAATAAAATATAGCCAACACCAACTAACTTTTCCTCTCTTGAAGAGAGTTTATTCTATGTGTTTAGCTGCTTGTGATTAATAAATACACTGTTTGCAAATTTTGCTGAGATATGTGTAAGAGTTGAATAAATAGTCAAAATGTTCCTGTCAAAATGTCATGTATCCTTTGGTGCTACTCCTAATAGGCAGGTGTAATATGACATAATATAGGGACATTGAATGGAAATTTCTGGGGATCCCATCAGTTACACTTTGAGGGGAACCGATGCCCACCTTACAACCACCAAACACTAGGCTCTTGTTAATGGTGCCTCTCCTTATTATGTCAGGTGGCGCTACTTTTGCCTGCTTCTGTTGCTCCTTGACAGATCGATAAGTGAGGATAGTAGGTTGTTTATTCAACAGTTATACAACAACTATTTATGTAGTCCTTATTATGTGTCAGGCACTAGGGCACATCAATGAACAAGCAAAATCTCTGCCCCCAAAGAACTTGCAGTGAGTAATCAGGAAGACTAGCGATTAAGCAACACAGTTTTGGGCGTGACAATAGGGGCAAGGACAAGGTGCCCTGGGAGTGCTCGGGTAGAGCACCGAGCCCAGTTTTAGAGCCTGAGAAGGCTTTCTTACCTAAGCTGCTGTTGTTGTGATCTTTCCCATCCAGAAAACTTCTAGCTTTGGGATACAATTTATAAACAATTTAAACAGTCTCTGGCATTTCCTGCCTTTTCCAAACATGGTGGGTTTGAACATTAACAATGTTTAAATTACTTGTTTTATTGGGGTATATAAATTGAACATTAACAGTGTTTAAATTACTTGTTTTATTGGGGTATATAAAATTACTATAAACATTTTAGAATATCCCGTTCTAGGATATATGCATCAGATGCCATGGTTTTCTTATTAAAAAGAAACAAGCAGCAGCAGATAACTTTGCATTATGTAATCCAATGTAATAAGATAGAACAAAGGCGTTGTTACTGTGACAGGCGTGGAGAAACCCCACTGCATCTGGATTGAGTCTTGACAGGCCATGAAAACTAGTTAATAACCAGAAACCAGGATAGACACGTGACAGGGCCAGTGAATGAAGGATTGAGAAATAGAAGGGACATTAGAGAGAGTAGTCCAACTCCATTTTACAGAGAGATGAAATGCCTGGTTCCTAGTTCCCACACCTCTCGCTGGGATCAGACATCAGGTCCTGCCAGGCCAGTGCTGATAACAAACATGTTTGGACAAGCAGCAAAGAGCATCTGTGGATAGCATTTGTTTCCTTGGGATGCCCATCCGACTGAAACCAGAGAAAAGGAGAATGCTGTTTTAGCCTCATGCAGCTTCGTGTGATCATGGCCTGCATTCTTGTAGCGCTTAGACAGGGAGGGGGCAATCACATGTTGAGCATGAGGGAGTTCATTTAATTTCTTTGCCAATAATATCCACACATATCGGAAGCAACATAAACCACCATCAACACACACACACACACACAGCACATCAAAATCTTGTCTACTTATTTAATATGTATCGTGTATTTGATTTTCATAT